GTGCTGCCTATATAGGAAATTAAAGGGGACCCGACCAAAAGTGCTCCTATGGGTTTTCCCTGACTAAACCGAAAAGAAAACCTCACCTTCGACGCGACGGCCACTGGTAAGACAAACATTTTAGTTCAATTTCGCGGGGGTATCCCGCGAAATAGGTTCGAATTTCGGGGCACTGAACAAGATTCGAATTTATTGCAGGTTTGTCTGGTCACTTTCAACTTCAAGACAAGGGATTTCTCAGTTCTGTAATAAGTTTCAAAATGACAAATGACAATCCCATTGATATATTTCCCCTGCACTCCAGGCATGGAATAGGTATATTTACTAAGCAAGACGCGACTGGATTTTTCAAGCTATGGCTTCATGGGTTTGCCAGCCATGTTTCCATTTGTTCAAGACATGGCTTCATGGGTTTGCCAGCCGTGATTCCATTTCTTTGAGCCGTAAATTCCATATCTCGGCCCTGTAAAGCCATTTAGGCCTATGACCTGCAATTTGCCACAAACTTGTTATTTACAAAGTCCCATGCATACAAAGTCCCATGTTATTTACAATTTACAAAGTCCCATACAGATTACAGAAAACAGTCACTAGCATTTGTCTTCACTTAAGCAGCAACTGAACAAGTGGTAATGCAGTATGACCACTCTGACTCTGGTCTGACCCTGACGTGACCACAACTATGTGATCTTCATGTAGGAAATGTTTTGAGTTGACTTTTTATTACATTCTGCATGTTATTTTGGCAGGAGGCAGGAGCATTGAAGTATACATATACTGCAGGTTGCAGAAGTTGAACATTTTATGAAATGACATGATTACAAAATGCAAATGCAATTTTTTCAATCAAACAAAAATTTATGACACTAGTGCCACAATATTTCAGAAGAAATAAGACTTTTCCAGCTTTGCTGCACTCTAGCAAGTAGGCTAGCTAGGCTAGCTGCTAGTGACTCTCCACTGTCTCCACTCTCCAGGATTGTGCTGTCACTGCTGTGGGTGGCACAGTGGCAGTGTGGCAGAACTGCCAGAACATCTATCAATTTTGGGACATCTGCCAGAAACAAGAAATCACCTGTGCTTGCAACAACAACAACACAACACCCATGATTCATATGGTTAATTTCAACCCATTTCATTATTTGTAGGTAACTAGGTAGTAGCCTAGTAGGTACAAACTCTAGACTTCTAGTCTAATTTTTACCATAAAAAATATCATTTTTTTCAGCATCCACAGCTTGCAAATTATATACCGTAGCCTAATTTAAAAATTGCTTATAGAACAATTGTTTTAACGGTTTAACCTACAAATTTCAGAAAATTCTGCCCAAGCCTCCAGGTATTGGAGGCATTTTGGTGCTCTTCCTGGCTTCCTGCCCTACCCTACGTAGTTTTCACTGGTGTCACAAGCCTGTTGAATTCACCGACAATTTTGAGATGAAGTTGATTGTTGAATGCTTTGAATTTTCTGAGTCTTAGTCTGGTTGTGAGCTTGTCTCTGGAGGTAGGAGAAATGGCTCTTCAATGTCCCAGTTGTTACTTAAATAATTCGTCAGCGGCTGATTGATGAATGCCCTGCTCAACCGGGAAATGCACCAACTGAATTATTGACGATGTTCTGTTCTGTTCTTCAGCAGGTTAATGCAGTGCTCAGTGCTGCTACACAACACTCCGGAATCTGGATGTGTAAACTGTATGGTGGATAGCTAGAGGTCAGCATAGCCCAAGTCCACAGTGCGATTCATATACCTTCCCGAGCGTGACACAGCCGGTGTTAAAATTTGTTGTCTAATTAATTTGTTAAAGTTTATACGCTTATCGTTTGTCTCGTGTTAAGAGGCATAGTCGAAGCTCGTTAGCTCGATCTTGACACTATTGCTTTAACCTTACCGGAGTGAAGACCTCTTGCTCAAACAGTATTATTACTTTTGTTAACTCTTGCTTATCTGTTACTTAATTTGAGTTTGTGCGAGTGTGTTTTCATTTTATTTTGTTCCATTTAAATGCATGTTAGAACTTCTGTGTTTCGCTCGTTTAATTAAGATCTTGCTTAACCGGCTTTACGCCAGTGCTTGGAACCCGTATAGGGTTATTGGCTCCTTGGAGCTTCGGTGTATACCGATTATGTCACATGCCTAGTGCTGTGAATTAATTAACTGCATGCTTGCATGCGCTTTACTCTCTTTAAGTACGAGCGAACACTCCTATTACTGTTTTCACTTTTTTCTTCCTAATAGTTCTCTTCATGAGAACTCTTGTCTAGGGTTCCTCAACGGAAACAAATAGGTTTGTCATATTGATTATTTGAAACTATTCTCATTATTCTGAATTTACTGAAACCATACTGAAATACATTGCGTTATAACTTTAAATCCATTAATGATAGTCTTACGTTGGTTTTCTGTCTTATTCAGATAAGAATCCACCCAACCACCTCTACTTGGTCTTCAACTCTGCCGTTTCTGATTTTTGAACGGAACTTCTCCTTGCTTATATGTTCTGTTGCCTCCGGCAATATATGGTGAGAATTGGAGAGAGAGACATATTCACCTGAAACAGTGACTCATTCTATTTAAATCAAATATTGTGTTCTAGACTTCTAACGTTCGAATTTGTACTTATGTGCGTACGTATTTTACTACAGTGCACGAGTTCCTCATCGCGCTTCGTGCTTCTCGTTTCCTTCTGGCTTCGTTCTGCGAACCAATTCTCTTTGCGGAACCACAATAAAAGTTTCAACGCTTTCTTTGTTTTTTTTATTTCCAGTTGTACCGAAATTCAATATAATTCTTATCTATTTGTTTGTCACTGGTCTCTCTCTCATTTCGATCCTGTGCATTTGCATTAATCAATTTTTCTAGTTAGAACTCCTAATTTGTCGCGATGTGCGATTCGGACAAAAGCCAGGTTGACTTGACGCAACTGAGGCGTAGTAGGGCCGTCCGTAAGAGTCAGATCACCATGCTGCTCAAGAAGTTGGACGAATCACCTGAATCAGCGGTGAGTTCTGCTATTGCCTCCATTAAAGATCTGTTGTCAAATGTAAAATCAATTGATGAACAAATTAACGCCATCTTATCCTTGCAAGGAGATTCTTCGGAATTTTCCGAGGAATTTGATAATGAACTAGAAAGTCAGAGTGCCTATTTAATTGAGGTTACCACTAAAATTGCCGCTTTAGAAAAATCAGCTCAAACTTGCAAAGTCAACGAAACTGCTTTTGAACTTAAATTGCCTAATCTTAGCTGCCCGGTGTTCTCAGGGGAAGGTGCTAGCCATTTGGAGTTCAGTGCTTTCATTATGCAATTTCAAAACTGCATTGGTCACCGTAAGACTCTTTCGCCTTCAGCCAAATTCACCTATTTAAAAACTTATTTGCGAGGCTATGCCCTCAAAGTTCTGCAGCATTTGCAGGTTAACAATGAAAATTATGATGTTGCTTTAAAATTGCTTGAATCTGAATTTTTGAACCGTAAGGCCGTTATTGATGATCTGTATCAGAAGCTGCTTGCATTGAAACCTAAACCTGATCATACTTTTTTTGAAACTAAACTTTTTTTTAATGAACATTATAAGCGTGATTTGTTGAGCAGCGAAGCATCTGCAGAGTTTGTTAGCCATTTGATTCTTCACAAGTTGCCTGCCATTGTTAGGGATGAATTCATTATTAGATTAGACACTAACTACCCTAGCTTAGATCAGATTTTTGACAACTACGTAGAGATCATTAGAATGCTCAACTTGCGTAAGGATACTTCAGCTATGAAGCCCGCTGAACCCAAAGACAAAGTCTCTGATGCAAAACCTGTCCGTACGTTGTCTGACGAAAGGTCAGTTCTTGTGAATTCGGCAGCAGGTGTTTCAAGCAAGTCTTGTGAGTTCTGTGGCGCAGCCAATCATTCCATGTTGAAGTGTTCAAAGTATCCTAGTCCAGCCAGCAGAATTTCTAGATGTAAAGAGTTAGGGTTGTGTTTTTTGTGTTCAAGTTCCAAGCACATGAAGCCTTCTTGTCCATCTAACCTAGATTATCCGTGTAGTTTTTGCAGCAAGAAAACCCACATTTCAGCCTTGTGTCCTAAATTTAAATGTAATTCTGAGAACTCAAAAGAAACTCCTTCCAGTAACGTAAACTGGTGCTTGAATTCCTCTCAGCAGGGGAGGAGCTCTCATCTTTTGCCTACCATTACTTTGACCGTGTCCCGTGGCTACAAGAAAACTAAGGTTAGATTTCTGATTGACACTTGTAGTCAGAAGTCGTACGTCACTAACCGGGTGTTAGATAAGCTAGGTGTACCACAGGATAGGACTAAAAAGGACTTTGTTATTAATACTTTTCTTCAGAGTGGGGTTAGACAGTTCTCAGAAATTAGTTTGCTCTTTGATTTAGAAGAAGCTGGAGGTCGCGTTCAGCTACCTATTCTTGTCAGTGATGAGTTCAGGTTGACCTTTGCCATGAGGGGCTTAGGATTAGTTACCGAGAACATTTCTCGGATTGCACCTCTGGCTGACAGCTCCTTCACCAACTGTAGTGACACAGTAGAACTGGAGGGCTTAATAGGAATAGATGTTTTGCAGTTCTTGAAAGATTTCCATGTAGTTCTGTGCTTAAGAGGCAGTGTATTTTCATTAGCAGGTAAACTTATTCCCTTTGGTGATGTTGAGAATTTCTTAACTTCAAGTCAGATTACTTCACTTAGCAAGGTTTCGAGTGCAGTGTCAGATCATTCAGTATCCTCTTCATTGGTCAATTTTGTTCTGGATCCCGTCTGCACATGCAGAGATCCTATTGCTAGCATTGCCAAAGACAGTGAAATTGAGGGCCACTTGGACAATCTGTTCAAGTTGGATTCTATTGGAATTAAGGAGACTAACAATGAAATTGCCAATTCTGACGCTTCTCACCTTGACAATTTTGAGAAGTCTTTGGTTCTAGAAGATGGTAAATATTTTGTTGAAATACCTTGGTGGTCTGACAAAATTGCAGATGTAAAACCTAACTTTGAAGTTGCTAAGGCTGTACTTGGGAGAGTGATAGAGCGGCTCGACAAGACCGGTATGCGCGACGCCTACGGTAGTTCGCTCACAAGTTAAGGTAATAAGGGTGAAGTTAAGTTAAATGCATGCAAGCATGCAAGTTAAATCCCACAATGGGCCTGAAGAATTAAGTTCTTCAAATCTCCCCAACTGAACTCCCGCGAGGGACAATTTACCGTTAGTGAAATTAAGATACTCATTAGAATGTCGTATCTCGGGTTTTGCTTCACCACGGAGCTGTGATGAGAGGTGCACCACAAGCTGCTTCACCGCGTGGCTGTGATGAGGGACGCACCACAAGGAACCTCACCACTGAGCTATGATGAGAAGTACATCCCTAAATGTGGACATGTAATTTTCCACACACTTTTGATAATTTATTCTAGTGAAATTAACTATTTGCGCAGCAGCGCACTCTTTTCCGACAATATCATGAGTCTATCTTTTGATGAGCTCACCTTCACTCAACAAAGAGGTTCTTATCAGCGCAGTGACTGCTATTGATGACAGCCGCACATACGCCCTCGCGAAGTGACACTCGGGGTTCTTAGGAATATTGTTTGCGTTGATAGATTCTCATCGCCGCTCGTCACGCACAGGCACGCACCCTCAACGTAACAAGAGATCATTTTCCTTACGTATGGCGTGATGCTATCTCAATATTAAAGCCAGGCGCCATTGCTGCATTATAGCCCGATGCTATCGCACTATTGTTGTCCGATGATATCGCTTCCATGGCTTATATACCAGCCAGGCATCCGTCGTGATATGCAGTCTTCGAGACATCGCTTGGAGACTCTACAGCCCTCAAAACTGCCAGCACACAGAATAACATGTAAACAAGTCTCACTGCTAAGAATCTGTAATTCTAAATAGTGTGACAATATACTGGCACATAAAGATTACGAAGAAGAGAACCTGATCGGGAATAATATGCGTTTAAAAATTATTTTTTAAAGACAACACTTCTGAAGAGGCCGGTGTCTCAGATGTTACACATGTACAATGAATTTCTAATTTTAAGTTTCGATATTAACAAAAAATAATATTACAATTTTTATAATATTATTATTAATAATAATATTATTATAATAATATAATATATATATATATAATATTATTATTATAATAATATTACAATTTTTTTCTTCCATATAGAAGAAAAATTTTTACATTACTCAAATTATTTATTCTGTCAATTTATTCAAGCATTGTCTCCGACTTTACGCAAGTGTGTAAGATTACAGATCGATTGGACTGGTAGAAGTGTGTTAAATATCGATTATAATATTTGTAGCAGACAAATACGCAAACAAACAAGCAAGAGAAGTTAAAGAGAAGTGTTATAAAAAAGTATACGTTTAAAAATTACTTTTTAAAGACAACACATCCAAAGAATCAAGTGTCTCCAATCTTACAGATGTACAATGAATTTCTCATTTAATTTTCGAATATTAAAAAAAACTAATTTTTAAATTTTTGTAATATATAAATTTTTTTAATATATAATTTTTTTCAAAATTATTTATTCTATAAATTGATTCATGCATTGCCTCTGAATTCACACAAGTGTGCAAAATTTCAGATCGATAGGATAAGTAGAAGTGTATTAAATTTCGATTACAATATTTGTAGCAGACAAACAAACAAACAAACAAGAAGAGAAGTTAAAGAGAAGTGTTGTAAAATAGAGCCTTGGTCGAATCTTAAGTAAAGATCGATCGACTCCTTATAGCCTAAAACATTTGTGTATGGATTGATCTCTGACCAGCAGAGTATCCTAGCGTGAGAGAGCTCGGTGGTCTAGTGCTGCTCCTCAACCTTAAATATAAACTTATTTCAGAGTCGATTGAAGGCGTTCAATCTAAATCGATGTTACTGGATGACGCAGTGCATATCTTTGCACTCCTCGGCTTCTCGGGTATGACAATTACTAAGAATTGTACATAACAATATTCGATAATTTTGAAGTATTCTGTCGCATATAAGAAAAAAGCTAGTGGAAAACGTTCCCAAATATGACGAACTGAGCCTGAAATTTGTCCATTGCAGTTGCGCCAGGGACCGCCGTGGCGCTTGCAGGTATCGAGGTGTTGGTGCCGCCCCCAACACGCGGTCCTGACATCAACAGCAGCGCTGCCAGCGTGGACTGCACCAACGTCTACCTTAACAATACCAGCAGCACTTACGACAACAATAACAACACCAACACTAACACCGTTGTTCTGACCTACAATACAACAGGTTTTAGCAACATAACTAGTGGAATAAGTACAATCATCAACAATGTTACCAGCATCACTATTACAAGTGACTCTAACGCAACAATAAGCTACAATAACATAACCTATGCCACCATCAACACCTCTGGCACTAACACCAGCAGCATTACAGCAGTAGATGCCTGCAGTGGCACCCAGACTCTCAGCGCGCCTCAGGAAAAGAATATCGACCAAGCTGCCGAGTTTTACGTCATATCCAAGACCCCGATGCGCAGGAGTGAAATACAAACTTTTTGTGATAACTACGTCGTTCAAAATCTGTCCTTGCAGCGCTTCGTCCGTTTCAAACTTGTTGGGTGAGTGAAGGGGTGATGGCTACTGTTTAGCCTGGTCTGTGGGGGTGAGTGAAGGGGTGATGGCTGCTGTTTAGCCTGGTCTGTGGGGGCGAGTGAAGAGGTGATGGCTGCTGTTTAGCCCGGTCTGTGGGGGTGAGTGAAGAAGTGATGGCTGCTGTTTAGCCTGGTCTGTGGGGGCGAGTGAAGAGGTGATGGCTGCTGTTTAGCCCGGTCTGTGGGGGCGAGTGAAGGGATGATGGCTGCTGTTTAGCCTGGCCTGTAGGGGTGAGTGAAGAGGTGATGCTGCTGTTTAGCCTTGCCTGGTCTTGAATAACTTAGTAAAGAATCTCAAATATTGCTGTAATTCCGTTTGAAGCTGCAGCAACCACAAATTTATTTGGATGAGTTCATTAATTGAACAATCTATTTTGATCATTTTTTCAGACCTCCTCAAACCGGCGCTGCCACAGCCGTTCTTGAAGCACTTGCAAACTTGACTGGGCAACCTGCCGACAATGACAGGTATGTACACTGCCATCTTTCCGCGTCGATTCATTCTTTAAGATCCGTACAAAATTCATAAAATTCAGCATTTGCATCATATTTGTATAAGATGGACAAATTTTGCCCCTAGAATAAAAGGTTTGAACTATTCCATAATGATTCATTATTTCGGTTCATAATTTGCTTCTCTAATGTTTCAGTATTTGGGACCCCCGCCATGTAGTGAGCCTTGTCGCCGGAGCCTTCCAACTCCGCGCTGTGGTTGACGCCTATGCCGGTTTGACAAACTTATTTCTAACTTGTATCATTATATTCTGAAACTTTTCATTAACCTTTTATTTGTGTGCATTGTGTATATTTGGTCACTGTTTTATTTAATGTGCTTCAAACATTTTTTGAAAAATTGATGCGCTGTTGCAAATAGTGGCGAAATGGGGAAATGAGATTTATATTAATGGACGACGTTTACTTATTGTTTCTGTCTCAGGTCGTGTATCCAGCCTACAATGGAAAATAACTGACATTATAGATGCAAAATCACTTTTTGCTGCAGTCAGCAGCGGCGTGAAGAACTCAACTTCTTTTGCGTCAAGTTTAACAATATCTACAACCTCTACCTCCTCTAGCTCCTCTAACTCAACATCAAGCACCACTGGCTTTACCAGCGCAACACCAACCACCCCAAACACCACTGGCTCTACCAGCACAACATCAAGCACCACTGGCTCTACCAGCATCACACATACCACCGCAAGCTCCACTGGCTCTACCAGCACCACACCAACCACCCCAAGCACCGCTGGCTCTACCAGCACAACATCAAGCACCACTGGCTCTACCAGCACCACACATACCACCCCAAGCTCTACTGGCTCTACCAGCACCACACATACCACCTCAAGCTCTACTGGCTCTAGCAGCACCACACAAACAACCTCCAACACCACACCGATCACCATAACAGCTTCTGTAAACAACTCAAGAACAGCAACATCTGAAAGTTCCAATGAGACGCTGTCGGGCTCGCTTGACTACAAAGAAAAATGGTACAGCAGCTTCCAGTGGACGGTGGCTCCGATTGATAACGACACACGTTTTGCCCTCTGTAAAGGTGTTACATATAGTAAGTTTTTTCAAACCTGTTCATTACACATCAAACACTCAGGTGGCGACATTTTACATTATTGTGTGATATATAATATAATCAAACCTCCTTAAAACTTCCCCTCAAGTAGTATCAAAAACCTATGAAAAATTGTCTTATGTATATCAAATATTGTTCCTACTTGAGTTGTCTAATAAGCGACCACTAAACGTTTAAATATAATTATTAAAATTCAGATTCGAGTGACTGCCGTGGGGTACCAGCAACTGTCATGGACGCCATCAGATTGTTGGCAGGGTCGAGCACTATCAACACTGACGGCGCCAGTACTGGCAGCACTGCAAGTGTTGCTGATGCTGCTGCAACAGCCGCAAGGTTTGCTCCATTCAGCACCAGGATGATTGAAGGACAAGTCTTGGATACACTCTGGTACATGGAGGGTGCAGCAACAGTCCCAGGATGCGTCAACCTTTGCAAATTCAGGGCTTCCAAAATTGCAGGTATGCTTTTTCTTCTGTGAATATCAATAAATTTTTTCTACAGGTTGCGTCAGAGGAAGTTCTCTTCAATTCGCTAAATAGCAAGAGATGAAGACAATGGGTGCCCTTAGGATGACGTGTACGTGAGGGTGAGTTATCAGTTCAGTGGCTGAGATTGTATGGCGCGTTTGCTGTCAAGACAGACTTCAGTGAAAGTAAAAATGATTAATTCCTTTGGTCAGCGCCCTCTCCAGATTTGGCTCTTTGCAGAATCTTCCTATAAGGTTATTTCAAAACTGTGATAAAAAATTATCACATCATATACCCATAAGGGAAAAAGTAAAATTTTCAAACACCTGCAATAATTTCGGATGAATTAACCACTTAATAATTAAGTATCTATGACGCACCATGCATTTTATAGTAGTGAGTATACGCTTCATGATATTTTTATTATATACTCCAGTTTTTGAAGATTCAAATTGCCTCATAACCTGCGATTGGCAAAAAAACAGCGTAAGGATTGAAATGATTTGTACGAGTGGTAGGCTTCCAAAGAGTATGTGGAAGGAAGCAATCTTGTGACGAATAAATAAAGCATGGGCGCTTGTGTTGGGCAGCGGTGCTGGATCAAGGCTGTCTCTGCAGCAACGACTCAACCATCCCGGAGCGATGGCTCCCTTACGTGGCCGACCAGACTTCTAATGGCAGTTACTGTCCCTGGTTCGAAAGTCCTGACTGTGACCAAGCTATTCAATTCTGTACTAGAAATACATCAACATATGATACATCAAACACGGATTTCCTTGCTACGTCCGACCAATCAAATACAAACGCATCAGCACAAACTTTATCAACGTCAAAAAGTCAATCGGAAACTTTGGCGAATATATTCTTCACTGATGCTGTGACTTGTGAGTGGAACTTTGTTCTCCGCATTGAGATACACTCTTTCCTGAAACCCCACCTTTTGTGCTAAACAGTTACGTTTATATCTTCCCAAATTGAATATGCAGAGTTCCGCCCAGTGAATGGCGAAACCTAAAGGCTATGTATTCAGGTCGGCAGCATAAGGTACGGGCTCTTTTCTTACACGCCCGGAGCTCGCGATATGCGTGATAAGATCTGTGTCCCCGCTGGTTGCAGGCAGCGGGTGTAGTTTTCAGGAGGCCGATGAAAAGCCAGCGGATGACCGGCACTAATAAGCTTCAGCCGACATATGTTGAACAATAGGGACTTTGCTTTTACCAATAGGAGTCTGTTTACTTCTAGGAAATTTTTCTGTACTGACAGTCATGCCCTGAACTATAATTTGCATGAAAGTGAGTCGTAGAATTCATGAATAAGATAAGATATGTATAGGCACCAAAAAATAGTAGATAAAATCAATGAAAAATTTTTAGAAGTAATAAACTGGGGAATAATCAGTGTTATCAACAAAAAAGAAATTTAATTATAGACAGTAATTAAACCAGAATGTTATGAGTAATAACACGTGATGCCCTCACGAACACAGGGCCAACGGACGACCCTGCACTGCCCAGGGCATCGTGGGTATCCCTGCTGGCGGGCGCCCCCAACAGTGAGTGCCTCCTTCTGTCGTCAAATAAATGTGTGGGGTCAAATGAGTCAAATTAACTCAGGGAAAAGTCAAATTATTGCGAGAATCCGTCAAGTTAACACCGGAATAGGTAGGTACTTTTGAAGTAAATAATTTGAAGAAATAATATATTGTAGAACCGTGAAGTCCTTGGAAAATTGATCAATTCGCCTAGTTTAACATGGGAAGAGTTTCGGACGACGCGTTTCCTTCTGATCAGTGGAAAATTTACTTTTTGAACGGTCTTGATTAGCACAGCTATAATTTATCTGTTTTCCCTGCAGAGGAGTGTGGGAGTGTTGATGTGGGGGCGGAGTGGCGCATACTGCAGGGTCGTGGCCCTGTGGGTTTGCTGGGGGAGCAGAGGGTGTTGTGGTGTCCCAGTGACTCGCGCAATCAGGACCCAACATCGTTCAACCTCACTAACATCAACACCGCCATCACCACGTGTATGCCATCCGGCCTATGGACACCGGCGCCTCCTACCTGCAAATACGGTGAGAGAAATTTCGCTCCAGGGCAGCCAAGTCTTATTTCTCCATCGGCACAAATGAAGTTTCATTATCTGAGTGTGTCGTAGTGCCTAGTCCTAGTTGGCAGAGACGATGGTGAACAATTACCCACTGCAGCGGTGATTGCTGGCAGAAATGATTGTTAAACCGAATGACTCGATGATCGAAAATAGTTTGAACCATCCCACCCCTCCTTCCCCGCAGACTGCAGGCAAGACCTGACGAGCTGTGCTGCCGTGTACTCTTTGGGGCATCGCACATCGGGGGCCTTTTTGCTGCGCGTGGGGGCGCCGCCCCTGCCGCGCGTCGTGAGTGGGGGCGAAGAGGGACTGAGTAGGAGGAGGGGGCTGAGCAGGGGGCGTGGGGTGTTCAGCACATGGGGTGTTGGGGCAGGTGTTGAGCATAACACATGAGGTGTTGGGGCAGGTGTCCAGCATAACACATGAGGTGTTGGGGCAAGTGTCCAGCATAACACATGAGGTGTTGGGGCAGGTGCTCAGCATAACACATGAGGTGTTGGGGCAGGTGTCCAGTATAACACATCAGGTTTTGGGGCAGGTGTTCTGCTCGCTGGTGGAAGGCGAGGGGGGTTGGGCGGTGGTAGCGAGGCGCCGCCACCTCTTCCACCCCAGCGTGTACCCCGACACTGCCAACCTGGTCACCCTGACTCACTTCACTCGTGGCGTGGGTCACGTCACCGACAACTTCTGGGCAGGTCAGTAGACCTAGGCACGTCACTGACAACTTCTGGGCAGGTCAGTAGACCTGAGCACGTCACGGACAACTTCTGGGCAGGTCACGTGGACCTGGGCACGTCACGGACAACTTCTGGGCAGGTTAACTGGGTCATCTGGTCTATACTAATCAAATCATATCATATCATAGTGATATCGGCGCTGAAGAATGGGCCTGATGTGGCCTGTAGCAGATGCTTGCACTTTTCGTGACTTGTCCACAGGAGATCTAAAAACAGGTCCTTCGGCCGGATCCTTTCCAAGCTGACGATAGTTTGAAATAACTCCTAGACTTCCACCGGGTTCGATACGGTTCTAGGCATTTCAAGTCTGAACATATATTTCGCCATAGCTTTATCCACTCTGTTCTTGAACGCATTTATACTCGGAGCCTTAACGAAAAAAACAATATCGGTGCAGAACCTACCATAGCAGGTTCTCATAACCTGCTTTAACAGGTTTTCATGATATATCTAGAGCAAAATTCCGGCCGATTCTTAGAACCGGCCATGACAGGTTCTTGCTGGTTGCCTCCTCTAGGGCTGGACACGCTGCTGGCGCTGACGGGGGACGGGGGGCGCGAGGTACAGCGCCTGCAGGCGAATGTGGCGAGTGCCACGGAGGAGCTGTGGGCGACGTACGCCTTCAGCATCGCTAACGTCACTGCCAACTACAGCGTCAGCGTCACCGACTACTACGGAACTGCAGGTCAAACAATGCATTCCATCATGCTACGCATAACGTTTATTATGTGTTGTTCAAAAGCATATATTGCTCTAAACAATCAATGATCAATCCGAATCTAATATATATTCAGTGAATATATTGAAAGAGAACACGCGTCCTTCGCACACTGTACGATGCATGTCCTCCGCGTCCCACGCACCATATAGGAGGCGTATCCTGCATTCTCCTTGTGAGGTGCTGGCAACACGCGTCCCACGCACCACATAGGAGGCGTGTCCTGTTCACTGTGAAACGCTGACTTGAGTTTGATGTGCAGGCGATGGCCTGAAGGACGTCAACGGTTCAGCTCTTGTCACCACCGAGGTTCAGCTCAGCGGCGGGAGCAGTAGCACGGTGAGACCGGCTGGAGATCTTAGCATAAAATTCACGAATAGGTTATATAATTCTGTGTATTGTGGTTAATTATTTGTGCATCAAAATTGAAGTGAAATTCACAAATTAACATCTAACACTTCCTGTTTCTTCAATGAAGATGTTATGCTTCAGTCCTGTTTCTTCAATGAAGTTCAACAGGACTGAAAGTTCCACAGTGGACGTTCAGGGTCATGCGTTCCACATTGATAAACGAGCGTTCCAGTTTGACGTTAGTGAATGAAGCATTAGTTGCCTAAATCATTATTTTAACATAGTGTACAGTTTGTTGATTGTTATTTGTGGTTTGTATTCAGATTATTTCTGGCTCCACGGCAGCGTTTGGGCGTCTAGCCTTCGCCTCTCTGGCTTGGGCTTCATGGAATGCCATCCTGACTTCGGTTTCCCTCAGACTGCGCCCCATCTCATACGATCGAGGTGAAACCAATACACGATGTTGGGATAGGGCACTGCAGACATAAAATTCTTCAGGCATTACACATTTTACATTCAGGTACTACACATTTATTCTTAGACAAGAACAAGAAATTTTATAACAAATTTATGCTATATCGACGAAAAACAGAAAATTACGTTCTTAACCCAATAATTACTGATTGATTTACAAATAAATTTCCGCAACAACTCGATGCAAGATGTGAGAACATTTTTAAATACGAAAAAATGTCGCTCATGAGAATTCACATAACATTCTGCAGAACATCCCGCAAAACAAGCCACATTTCATCCTACTGAACATCCTACACAACACCCGAAAAACATGCCACACTTCATCCTACTGAACATCCTACACAACACCCGAAAAACATGCCACACTTCATCCTACCGAACATCCTACACAACACCCGAAAAACATGCCACACTTCATCCTACCGAACATCCTACACAACACCCGAAAAACATGCCACACTTCATCCTACCGAACATCCTACACAACACCCGAAAAACATGCCACACTTCATCCTACCGAACATCCTACACAACACCCGAAAAACATGCCACACTTCATCCTACCGAACATCCTACACAACACCCGAAAAACATGCCACACTTCATCCTACCGAACATCCTACACAACACCCGAAAAACATGCCACACTTCATCCTACCGAACATCCTACACAACACCCGAAAAACATGCCACACTTCATCCTACCGAACATCCTACACAACACCCGAAAAACATGCCACACTTCATCCTACCGAACATCCTACACAACACCCGAAAAACATGCCACACTTCATCCTACCGAACATCCTACACAACACCCGAAAAACATGCCACACTTCATCCTACCGAACATCCTACACAACACCCGAAAAACATGCCACACTTCATCCTACCGAACATCCTACACAACACCCGAAAAACATGCCACACTTCATCCTACCGAACATCCTACACAACACCCGAAAAACATGCCACACTTCATCCTACCGAACATCCTACACAACACCCGACAAACTATGCCACACTTCATCCTACCGAACATCCTACACAACACCCGGCAAACTATGCCATATTTCATCCTACCGAATATCCTACACACACCCGACAAACTATGCCACACTTCATCCTACCGAACATCTTACACAACACCCGACAATCTATGTCGCACTTCATCCTACCGAACATCCTACACAACACCCGACAAAACATGCTACACTTCATCCTCCTGAACATCCTACACAACACCCGACAAAATATGCCGCACTTCATCCTACCGAACATCCTACACAACACCCGACAAGACATGCTACACTCCATCCTCCTGAAGATCCAGCACAACACCACACACAACATTACTCAACATCAGGTCGTGATGTTTATATTCATAGCATTTCTCATTACCCCGCCAGAGATGACGTGCCCGCCGTTCATACGCGTGTCTGATCCCACATACCGACGTGACACGTACACGGGCAACGTGACGTCGAGACGTGGCGTGGGCACTCGCATCTCTGTGGTGTGTGAGCGTCACCTGCTGGAGGAGGGGACCAACTCGTCCGCTCCCTTCAGCGAGTGCCTCGCCAACAAGAACTATTCCAATATCGACATTAAACTCCCCTGTCGAGGTAGCTAATAAATAAGTTCACGACAAGAAAGTTTCCGTAAACTTTTTACACTGAAAAGTTCTCTCGCATTGCTGCAGGATGCGCCCGCCGTTTCGCTGCCAGCGGGCTCACTGGTATGGTCTCGGAGTTTCCTCAAGATAAAAGCTTTTGGTTTTTGTTGAGAGAAATACATTTAGAATATCAAATCTATTTCATTTTACTATGTTCATTATAGGATTTGCGTTGTCAAGACTGCGATCTTGTGGCTTGAGATATTGTATTAGCTATGTTTACAAAAAATGCAATATAACGCTTGCTTCTTTAATTTGTATAGATGTAGCTTGTTGGAGAGCTGTGTGTATTTCGGAAGTAGGAAGTGTGAAGGAACTCATGTATGAATACCTGCCTTCAGCGCTCGTATTGCAGATACTTTAAGTACCATTGATGCCATTCCACCCGAAAGTACGGCCAATGTACTTTAGCGTAGTACGTACAAGCCATCAACCCGCTACAGTAAAACTTCATATTGCAATTGCTCAAGTCAATTTCATCTAAGAAAATCTTCACAAAATTCATCCCTTACATTCCAGCCTCCTATTGATATTTCCATACAAAGAAATATAAATGCAGCATTTGTGATATGTTTTGCCACGTCACGATAGCCGTGTGCCCTCGAGGCTTCGTGCTGGAGCCATCGGGGTGGTGGTGCTACTCGGTGTCAGAGAGCGTGCCTCGCCCCGTCAACGGCTCCCTCGACGACCAGGGTGAGTGTGCCTCGCCCCGTCAACGGCTCCCTCGACGACAAGGGTGAGTGTGCCTCGCCCTGTCAACGGCTCCCTCGACGACCAGGGTGAGTGTGCCTCGCCCCGTCAACGGCTCCCTCGACGACCAGGGTGAGTGTGCCTCGCCTCGTCAACAGCACCCTAGACGGCCAGTGTGAGTGCTTCGCCCCGTCAACAGCACCGTTCAAAAGCCCCAGTTAGTGCAGTTTTAGCCTTCAAAACCCCAAGTAGGAAAGGATGAGTTATTTCGCGCATGCCTGCGAGAAAACGACCGAGGCCACTGCCGTGCTCAGCTGAATTTTCCGCAAAATGCGAGCATGCGTCTTGGATTCGTCATTGACGACTTAGTTCGATCTGTTTGCGGAGGTGCCTGCAACGAACGGCCTTGGTCACTGCGAGAATCTCGAAGTGGGGGGAAGGGTTCGTTGGTATTTATCACACCCAAAGCTCTACCGTTCAAAGAGAACATGTGAAATCACAGAATGGACAAAGTTCTACAATATCCCATTATTATATTTCCATACACAATGTTTGGTTTAGAAATAATTCTCAATTATAATCAAGGGGCGACGCCTATACAACATTAGGTCATTAATGCCCTATGATCAAAGAGGTGTGTGGTCAGATATGGTATTATTAGAGAGGGTACGATCAAAAGGGTATGGTCAGAAAAGGAAAGTCACAGTCAATGTATCGTTCAATGTTATGAAATGTGAAAGTATTTATAGTACAGTACAGTATATACAGTAAAGTACAGCACAGTATAATATCTTCGGCATTGAAGAATAGTTCTGCTTAGGCCTGTCGCCGACACTTATATTTTTCGTGACCTTGTCATTAAAGTTCATGTGAGGCTTCGTCTCAAACTCCCCGCCAAAAGGCGTAATCCCATAACGCCGCGCCGTTGCCGCAGGCGTGGCGTGGAGCGCCTTCAAGGCGTCGAGCTTCTGGCAGGCGAGCCTCGCCTGCGCCTCACGAAGGGCCTCACTGGCCTACATCCCCAGCTCCGTCAGAGTGGTGAGTGTGGTGTGGTTTGATGGTGGTGGTGTGGTGTGATGCTGATGTGGTGTGATGCTGGTGTGGTGGGTGTGATGGTAGTGTGGTGTGATGGTGGTGTGGTGGTGTTGTGGAGAGTTGGAGGAGGAGTGGTGCAGGCTGGGGGTGTGGAGAGGTGGAGGACGAGTGATGCAGGCTGATTTTGTGGAGAGGTGGAGGACGAGTGGTGCAGGCTGGTGTTGTGGAGAGGTGGCCGTACTGCAGTTTATGTGACGCCTTATGACCTGACATTATCATGCCGCCGGTCACCGCGTGACGCAGATGCAGTGGATGGTGGCATCCTTCCTGACGCAGACCGGCCTCTACTTCGTCAGCTACAACGACAGGTCAGCTTATCAAAATCTGTAGAGCAACAAAAAGCACCAAAGATTTCCACTTAAATATAAAGTTTTGCGGTCTATAAAATTCGCTCCACTGGTTTATTCCACTTACCGATATTATATTTTTCGGCCAGCGTATCAAAAAACACAAATACAGTACATAAATACAGGTGTGCAAGACTTTTGGTGTGCAGGGGAGCGGAGGGAGTGGGCACGTGGGCTGACGGGCGTCGCGGGGTGTTCCCTATTCAGTGTGCGAAGAACACCGGGCAGGGGGAGGCTGCAGGATGCGGGGTGGAGGGCGACCAAACCAAGGATTGTCTCGTGCTCGACAGGAGCGGCCTCGGTATCGCCTCCTTCTGCATTCTCACAGAACCTATCTACTTCATCTGCAGCTTTCCGGGTGAGCAATAAATGTATATTTGATTTGGAACTTCTTCAAGCGTTGTTAGAGACGTCGCTAGGCTCATCGCACGTGTTGTGTGTGCAGCGGTGTGTCCAGACGTTACACTCATCACACGTGTTGTGTGTGCAGCGGTGTGTCCAGACGTTATACTCATCACACGTGTTGTGTGTGCAGCGGTGTGTCCAGACGTTATACTCATCACACGTGTTGTGTGTGCAGCTGTGTGTCCAGAAGGTCAGGTGCGGTCAGGCGGTTGGTGCAGCAGTGTCATGGATGTAGGGTCGGGCAGCGCGTACACCGCGTACGACAGATGTGGACGCGTGGGCGCCATGCCCGCCCTCTCTGTGGACGCTATTGCACAAGCGCTGCCGTCCATACCGCAGCTCGTGGCCCAGATTCTTTTGGCGTCTCAGGAATACAACAACTCGTCGAATTCCGAACAAGACATCCAAGTGGCATTACTGACAGGAATAAATGACCTGTGAGACACGGCGACTCAAAACGCTAAGGGAATATCTGTAATATTTTAACTTGTCCATATATCTATGTTCAAAAACTATTTACCGCCCATCAAATCATCGGGCAATCTTTCACGCTTGATCAAATATATGAAGTTAAATTTTAATTTTATAATATTGAGTAAAACTTACTACAGCGGTGCTGACGGCGGGTGGAAGGTGATGCTCAACAACAGCCTCCAGACGCTGCCGCTGCCCAACGATGACCAGCGCGACTGCCTCTACCTCTCCCTCACCACGTCGCCACAATCATACAACAGTAAATTCATTAGGTTCTGCTAAACTAAAACTTTAAGAATGCTGTAATGAAACTGCAGATTTATCAAGTTCATAGAGTTATCATTAGAATAAGTCAGTGCGAAAGATGTAAACGACGAAGGTAATATGATCAATAAAAATGGGTCACCGATGCCAGCGAGTTGAACCTTAATTTAAGTCAAGTTATTGGACGCAGACACATTTACCGGAGATTTATGAGCTCTGCATCTATTTTTTAATAATTAATTATCTAAATTTATGACTCATAGAAGTAGAAAACATCAGAATTTCGCAATCACACGGACTACCGTCAATGACTCTTTGACTCTTGAGTCGCTACTCAGGTGCTGCATTCTAGACGTTCGTCAAAAATTGCATACTAGTCAAAAATATAATTTTTATGCTTCGATTATCACTTAATAAATACGAAGCTGTTTGATTTCGCTAGAAAAATTGTGGCTAAGTTTTGGGTTTAAAATTATCGTTTCTCTTGTAGGCCGGCGAATTGAGTAATGTGTCGACTTGAGGGGCATTGACGTTACATGCCACCTTAAATTTTAACCCACTCGATTATTTTACACCTTCAGATAACACGGCCATCATACTGGAAGACTTCCGTGACGTGTGGCAGGAGGCAGGAGTTTCTCACGCCCTGAACTACACAACAATGAACAGCACCAGCGAACTGACGAAGCTTCTTCTACGCATCGGACGCTCTACGAGCTGCAAATCCCGATACCGCTTCGTCGTCTGCCAAACACCGGCCATCCTAGGTAGTATTGTGGTGAACCTGCTATTGCTCTTACGAACACTTTGTGTAATGTTGCTAATATGGTCGGTGCTTTATCGTATGTAGTGTTGTGGTGAACCTGCTATTTCTCTTACGAACACTTTGTGTAATGTTGCTAATATGGTCGGTGCTTTATCGTATGTAGTGTTGTGGTGAACCTGCTATTGCTCTTACGAACACTTTGTGTAATGTTGCTAATATGGTCGGTGCTTTATCGTATGTAGTGTTGTGGTGAACCTGCTATTTCTCTTACGAACACTTTGTGTAATGTTGCTAATATGGTCGGTGCTTTATCGTATGTAGTGTTGTGGTGAACCTGCTATTTCTCNAGGTCTTAGATTTCTGTTTTACATGTGTGTACCAAGTTTCAAAACGATCCGTCTGTAAACAAAAAAGTTTTGTTGGAGGGTAGCCGGTCCCTTTAAGTAAAATCTAAAGGCTTTATCTATAAATGTAGCGGTAGCGCTGTAGCGGCAAAACCTCGTATCGCTACTTAAATATGTAGCGGGCGCTACCGCAACTGCTACATTTCCTTAAATGTAGAGCCCCTACCGCTACCGCTACTGAAAATGTAGCGCGCTACTGCCCACCACTGCTCTTACGAACACTTTGTGTAATGTTGCTAATATGATCGGTGCTTTATCGTATGTAGCGTTGTGGTGAACCTGCTATTGCAATTACGAACACTTTGTGCAATGTTGCAAAATATGATCGGTGCTTTATCGTATGTAGCGTTGTGGTGAACCTGCTATTGCAATTACGAACACTTTGTGCAATGTTGAAAATATGGTCGGTGCTTTATCGTATCATTTCGTATGTAGTGTTGTGGTGAACCTGCTATTGCTCTTACGAACACTTTGTGCATTGTTGATAAAAAGATGGTCGGTGCTTTCCATTGACACACATTAGGTATAAAGTCAAACTAACCACGTGTCAATGTTTCGCACAAATAGAAACTATACCACAGAATGAATAAATAATTTTTTTTTGTTCTGGTTTTCTTTTAGGTCTGCTAGACTTTTGTAGGTCCCTTTACAATTTTGACACTAAGAAAAATTGCTTAATAATATATCAAAGAAAAACATCAATAGTATGAAATCTGGTCGAAAACTGGCCAGTATATACGCCAAAAATTTTGCGATGCCTCGAACATCAGGGCCGTATGGTCTGTACATCAGGAGCTATAATCTAGCTGTACATCAAAAGAATGATTTGTAATGAAGACTACCAGAATTATGGTCAAAAAATGAGCGAGACTTTCTCCAAATAGTATGAATATTTTACCCTCGTGTGGGTCATCCTGGACCAGTTGGCCCGGCAAAAAAGCGCATCAGCGCTACGTTCGACATCTATTCGTGCTGTGGGTAAGAAAGTGAGTCATAATTTGGACAATAAGACCCATATTCTGACTGCAGAATGCTGGGATTCCCCGCCTACTCCTGTCGGCAGCGTGCAGACGTGGGACTACACGCGACCTGCTGTCATACCTCTCGGCACGACCATCACCTACACGTGCCCAGGCTCTCAGGTGCTCGTGTCTACACCCCCTACTGAGTTTATATAAGACATGAATTAATAAGATTAGTGGAGCTACAGGCAAATATCTTAGTTTAAACTATGTATTGCTGTCATCAGACAAGAAAAGCTGGCCAGATTGTGTTGCCGAAAATAGAAACAGTCTAAATCACTATAATATCATGAGGTTCATCGATAATTTAACACCGTATTACTTTGAATTAGAGATTGCTGATGTTTAGAAAATCTTGTCTTATAGATGAGTTGCACTGCAGTTTTTGATTTGCACTGCGGTATAACTTTATACCCTTGCCATAGTTACAACTGTTGTAGCTATAGACTTTCTTATCCTACGAACAGGCCTCGCTTCTCTCACACATTTGACTTGATCGCCTGTTTGCGTGCCCAACTCCAGGTTGTGGTGTTGTCCCAAACGCCGTCTCTGAAGATCGTCTGCTACGCGGCCCTCGGCGGCTGGCAAGACGCAGAGCTGGTGTCGACCTGCGCCCTGCCAAACTGTGCGCTCACTCGAACTTGCGTACAACTTTAGCAGTGTTAAACTTATATCTCAACGTTGTACTTATGTACTTGGTGTTATACTTATGTATTTAGTGTCATAATTATATCTATGTCATACTTATGCTATAATAAAAGTGCAGGCTGGAGACAGGGCTGGGACCGGCGCCCTGCCAAACTGTACGATCACAGATATTATTTTTGCGTTGTAATAGCACAAGTAGCCCCATGTAGCTGGGGAGTTGCGGGGTATGAAGTGGGGCTATTTATTATAACTGTTGATACAAAGAAGAATTCAACGCATTTCTTAATGTATTTCTTGATGTTTCGCAACTAAAGTTGATGCATAAACCTAGTGAGCGCTATAACATCGATAGAACATTGGCATGCTATATGAATCTTAGGCGATTATAATCTCCGTTTATACCGGTTCACCTGTATTCAGTTGAGCTTTTCAAAAGTTTTTAAAAAACAAATTGAGTATTTTTTTATTGATTGAGCAGCATGCACAGGTCTGCCTCCCGTCCCACCCCGCGCCGACATGCTCATGATGTGGCCGAATCTTAAGACCAAAGCTGGCGCTATAGTCACGTGAGTCACGTGAATTTCACGTGTTCTGCGTGCCTTATGTCTCTCCTGAATAACATCTTGTAACGCGGGCATCTAACGATAAGGTGATAGTTAACATTATTTAGATAATCGAATAATTATATCATTTACCTGCCGAGTGTATACTGCTGCTCACTAGCGAAAGGCAAATTTTCAATTCACATCATTACCTTCAAGACTTCTCCTATCTGGTGTTGGGGGATGCTTGGGGGAGAAACCAGAGATTGTCTCTTGTACAGTCAGAACGACTGTGAGAAGGGCCGCACCGAGAAACTTTGCGATGATCTTATTTAATTCAAGGTAGTGACTCCAACAGAGCTATTTTTGCAGCGCTGAAATCTCCCTAACACTACTATCAACTCTATTAGCTCACCGCCCACTATAATACCTACTTTCACTCACCTGCCTGGGCCTTTCCGTTGTCTTGTGATACCTGTATTGACTTCAGATATCTGCCGAAGTCTTTTCAAACTGACCATTTTAAACAGATTTTTACCCCCACCAGTTACTTGTGTCCACGCGGTCTCGCAACAATTGATGGTCGAGCCGAGCAGGAGGTTCGATGCGACATGGCCGACAGCATTGCTGAGTGGAGTCCTGTTCTGCTCGACAACTGTACACGTAAGAACAGAATATGCATTCTCTATTTCGATTTAAGATCTCACTTTCATAACAGCGTATTATTTATTATCGCGGCATATTTTCTTTCAATTCTATGCCTTCTGATTGCATTTTTCAAATAATAAACTAATACTGTTAGCATGTTTCTCTCGTTGTCATTCAAAGTCCTGTCATTTTGTCGCAGACGCTATATAATCACTGTATATTTCAGAGTGTTATGGACCACCCCCGCAGTCTCAGCAGCCACAGCTACTCCTGCAGTGGGAGGGCAGCGTCAGCATTGGGGCGTCGGCCTCCTACCGCTGCAACAACTCGCAGCTCCTGGGCGCCACGACGGACGATGACGTCATCAATGTCACGTGCCAGGACCCAGGGGGCTGGACCCCTGACAGCGCTCCAGTTTGCATCAGTAAGGGTTTATTCTTAAGTCAGATTCTGCACATATTATCAGTCAGCACTATTATGAGGTATTTTGATACATATGATATTTGATACGAACAACATTTGCTTATAAGATAATGCAAGATTTAAATATTTAAATTAATCCTGCTGTCCTAACAATCAAATTCTTAATCACACAAATCTGAGCCTTTAGACCACAGGGAGGAACTCCAATGCTGTGCTTCATCAAGATTATCTCCACGCCTCCAACTCACATCACGTCTCATCATTAGAACTCTTACTTTTCATAAGATTATCTTCACGTCTCCAACTCACATCGCGTCTCATCATTAGAACTCTTACTTTTCATAAGATTATCTTCACGTCTCCAACTCACATCGCGTCTCATCATTAGAACTCTTACTTTTCATAAGATTATCTTCACGTCTCCAACTCACATCGCGTCTCATCATTAGAACTCTTACTTTTCATAAGATTATCTTCACGTCTCCAACTCACATCACGTCTCATCATTAGAACTCTTTCTATTCTCGCCACCTTATGATTTGAATTTTTCCTGTTCTGAATGAATGGTATGGATGTTATTAACTTAAATTGCTATAAAAAAACGAAATGAGATGATATAAAATGTGATTGTTGTTATTGCTGTGGTCATATGGGAATCGAAGATTTTATTGCTGTGTTATTATTTTTAGTGCACGATAGCGAATGAAAATGCCTCTACTCTGTCTTCACATCGAACGATGAATTTTTGTTACTTGGAACAAAAATTCAACGTACCGTGTTCCTCGACCTGTATTATCTAACGAGTAAATGAGTACACAATAGTCTGAACATATGTACAGCAGCCAAAAAATTTATGATGTGTTAATAAAATTAATTATTGTCATACTGTATTCTTAATATAATCAGAAAATCGGCATTTAATCTGAATTCCGGCACTAGTACATCATTTGCCCCGCAGAACGAGGAGTTGTAAAAAGACGTACTAAATATTTTATAGAATCAGAATATTTAGGTTATACAATACGTCAATAAGGGCGTTGTTCCATGCGCATCCAGAATAATATGTGAATGATAATTAAACTGGTCAGGACTACTTTTATAGTAAATGCAATCACCAGAACGGAATATTTGATCGAGTGACGCCCCTTAAATAATATTATTAGGCGAAATGCTACCAGCGATGCAGGGTCGATTGTTTATTAATTCGTTTATGCATGAGAGTCATACATGAAAATAATTTCAAGAAAGTTGGAATCGATGATGTAACAACATAAAAATTGACTTAACTTCGATTGTCATCAACGTTTACTTGACATTATTAATATGTAGTGCCATGTAAGGACTACATATGTGGGGACCTCATTGAAGTATACAAGTACACTCATGGTTTATACAAGGTCCCTGAAGGATTACTAGAATTTGAAACAAGAACCAACACCAGGGGCCACGGCTGTAAACTAAAAAAAAAACGCTGCAACTTATCCACGCGACAACATTTCTTCTCGCTTCGAATCACCGACAAGTGGAACAGCTTCCCCGATGACATCGTTTGCGCTCAAGTATGAACGCGTTCAAGAACAGACTGGATAAAGCTATGGAAAAATATATGTTCAGATTTGAAATGCCTAGCACTATATCGAACCCGGTGGAAGTCAAGTAGCTATTTCAAACTATCGTCAGTCATAAGGATATCCAGTCAAATGACAAGATTTTAGATCTTCTATATGAACAAGTCACGAAAAGTTCGGCGACAGGCCACATCAGGCCTACTCTTCAGCGCCGATATCACTATGTTCTGTGCAATAAACAAACTACTGTTTGATAGATGTGTCAAAAATTCGTTAGTAAGTTTTGCGATTCGTTCGAAAATCGTTGCGTATCAAAATTGCTAAAATTCTGACTCGAAGAACCATATTTTCAAATGAGTTTATAAGGTTCAGGCGTTAGGTTCAACTCTAACTTCGCATTAATCTTTTCGATGTCGGCTCATTAGTTTTTACTGCAAAAAATTTGTATTTAAGAACATAGTAGACTGCTTAGCTCGGTGTACATCAGAGACGTCAACATTGAGATAATTGCTAAGTCTAAAATAGTTTAAACATGGCATTAGACCAACGCCGGCCCAACTGCCACCGACAGAGGCACCCACATTAGCTACATGAATGGCAGATTCGACGCACGGGCGTTCGACCGGAGGCCGAGGAGATGCAGGGCAAAGATACTGGCCTCAGGTGGGTGTAAAGAACATTCCCTTCAAAGGTTTGACGCGCGCAGACAAGTTGATGTGAAAATTTTCATGCGTTTGCGGACGATTCTAGGCCAGAGTATGTACAGCTGAATTACTGAAGGTTGATTGGTCTACTTCAGTGGATTTATCTGCGGCAGATTACGTGCAAGTCAAGAAGTATTGAAAGCTACGTTACTGATGGAAGGTATCACATAAGTCAATGTGGCGTAAGGCAGTGGTGGCCTCCGACAGTCCTCCCCTGTCCTGTGGGTCTGAACGTGAATTTATTGGACTCTTGTTGTTATCTTGAAATGTTAGTCTGTGCATTCGTTTCATCTTCATTTTGTTAAACGCCTATCAGTTAGTATTTTGCTGCCGATAGAAATAATACGTCTGTTCAATTATGTCACTAAAACCTAATACGGCAGTTTTTTAGCACGACCACGAGGATAACTGGTCATGATATTTAGATTTCATTGTTTGGTTAACCTTGCAACATTAATGAGAGAATGTTGCCAACCTGGTAGGAGGTTTAAAATAAATTAGTAAGAGCGAGACGTAAGAAAAACATCAGTCTCATTCTTCATTGCTACTTGTACATCTTCTTGGCGGAGACGATCATCCCAAAGGGAGCACTCGATCGGCTGCATTAAGGCGGTTGATGACCGGTAGAGCCTGCGAAGAAAAAAATTAAGCACAAATATTAAGATGCAGACTATTAGTAGTCGATATACCTACTGCTGAGTCCGGGTATTATAAGTGGCCAAACGAAAGGGAACTATTGTGGCTTCTTCTTACCCAACCTGTCGAAGACAACAATCACTCCGTAGTCCGGACTGGACGCTGTCTGATTCTGCAAGAAAAGGAAAGCGGAATTCAGCTTCAGCAACTCCATTTAGATATTGCTTGCTCTAATGTTTTTAGCGGGGTAAATGTCGTTCTTTTATAATTGATGTTTTTATTAGTATAAATTTAAAGTAACTGCGGATTTTTGTATTATTGGTTTATTTGGTTATATTCAACTTCTATACGATTGCTGATGCTTGCGAAGTTGCGAGTTGCAAACATCGTTTGATCGTTACCAGATTGTCCTCTAAATTGAACTCTCTAACGAGTAACGTCTAACCTCTTACTAATATCTATAGGTTAATAGTTAATTGGTACCGTTACAGCTTACAGGATTAGGACGTAGGACAATATGTTTACATATGCATTGCAAGGTCACTTGGCATTGGCCAGGGCCCCTCGCTAAGACTGAGTCAGTCTTAGCGTGAGTCGTGAGACTTCAAATTTACTCAATATCAGTGTCCAGTGAATTCACTGTACCTATTTATTAGGTATTTCATGGCTGTCAGCAGTCAGCTGACTGACTGACTCAGCTCCTAAGCAGAGTGGGGAGTGCTATTTCCACATTCCATTGCTGTTTTCATACTAAATTTGGCCTTCCCATTGTTACAACTGTGCTACAGACCAGACTGTAGAGCATGGCACAACATAGGTCGAGGACGCCAATTTCATGCACCAAAGACGCCAAGGTGGATGCCACTGGATGCCGGTCGCCAATTATGCTTCTCCATAAATCGCGATTTACGATCGATATGGCCGATGCGCCGTATTGATCTACACGCTACGATCATAACTATGTGTTGTAGCACGTAGTTCCGATGGCTGTGAGAGCTACATTTGAGTACCCAAGCACACGAGCTCATAGCCACCTGAACTACGCAATGTAGCGCGCAGTTCCGGCGCCTGTGAGAGCTACATTTGAGCACCCAAGCACACGAGCTCATAGCCACCTGAACTACGCAATGTAGTGTGCAGTTCCGGCACCTGTGAGAGCTACANCAGTAGAAAGTGTCAGTTTGAATTTGAATGCATTAGATTGTATTAGTTTATATTAGATTGAATTAGAATGCATTAGATTGAATTAGAATGCATTAGATTGCGCATTAGAATGCATTAGGTTACATTAGATTGCCTTAGGCTACATTAGATTGCCTTGGGTTACATTAGATTGCCTTGGGTTACATTAGATTGCCTTGGGTTACATTAGATTGCCTTGGGTTACATTAACCCTTTCACGGGTAAGTTACCATATATGATCACTTGAAATCGCGTCACAAAAAGCCTCACCACGGCTTCTTGTTTGTTTTTGAGTCATCCTTATAATGTCTCAGTCAATCACTAATTATCTGACCATTGTTCTATCTACAGCATCACCAACTGCAAAGTCCATAAATTGAAATATGAGCATTTAAATGAAGGTTTTGACTCAGACAATGGAATTGATGCTCTTTCCGCATTTTCTTCAATAGGTGGAAGTATCAATATATATATTTATTTATTTTGGCCACTTGATTAAATTTAATTAAATTTTTATGTTTCTTATTTTTCATTTGCATAAACTGAATTTTAATTATTAAGAAAAATTTTGTGTACTGATCGCATTTATTGAATTCTTCAGGTGCAATTTAAACCTTCAATGGGCAAAATTTGCAAAAATTCATATAAATAAATATATTGTATAATACTTCTTACTTTCTTGAAATGGTTTCCAAAATTTTAATTTCTGGATATTTCAATGCTTGCCCGCTAAAGGGTTAAATTGCTTTAGAGTGCAATAGATTGTGTTAGAACGCTATAGAACGCTATAGATCACGTTAGAACGCTATAGATTGCGTTAGAACGCAATAGATTGCATTAGAATGCAATAGATCATGTTAGAACGCAATAGATCGCGTTAGAACGCTATAGATCGCGTTAGAACGCAATAGATTGCATTAGAATGCAATAGATCATGTTAGAACGCAATAGAATAGATCGTGTTAGAACGCTATAGATCACCTTAGAACCCAATAGATTGTGTTAGAACACAATAGATCGCATTAGAACACAATAGATTGCGTTAGAACACAATAGATTGCATTAGAACACAATAGATTGCGTTAGAACGCAATAGATCATGTTAGAATACAATAGAACACGTTAGAACACAATAGATTGCGTTAGAACACAATAGATCGCATTAGAACGCTATAGAACGCAATAGATCACGTTAGAACACAATAGATCACGTTAGAACACAATAGATCACGTTTGAACACAATAGATCACGTTAGAACACAATAGATCACGTTAGAACACAATAGATCACATTAGAACACAATAGATCGAGTTAGAACACAGTAGATCACATTAGAAGGCTATAGAACGCAATAGATCACGTTAGAACACAATAGATCATGTTAGAACACAATAGATCGCGTTAGAACGCAATAGATCACGTTGGAAAACAATAGAACACGTTAGAACACAATAGATTGCGTTAGAACACAATAGATTGCGTTAGAAAACAATAGATCGCGTTAGAACATAATAGATTGCGTTAGAACACAATAGATTGCGTTAGAACACAATAGATCATGTTAGAACACAATAGATCATGTTAGAACACAATAGATCACGTTAGAACACAATACATAGATCACGTTAGAACACAATAGATCATGTTAGAACACAATAGATCATGTTAGAACACAATAGATCACGTTAGAACACAATAGATTGCGTTGGAACACAATAGATCATGTTAGAACGCTATAGAACGCAAT